TCGATTTGAGTGCTAAAAGTGAAGGATTTTATGGAATGTTTGATCATTTTGGTTTGATTAATTAAATTATTTTCCGAGGAAAATTTGCTCATTTAGGTGCTTCTGTGTTTACTGTTTATTTAGCTGCCTCAGAAGAGGGTTGGGTATATGTACTTTATGATTGTCTAGATTCTTTACCTTCACATTTTGCTTTTGTTTATTTTGTTACTTTAATATTTTTTCTTGCTTGGCTAGTTAAAGTAATTAAATAATTAACTAAAAATTATTAATAATAATTTTTAATAGAATGTTTTTATTGCCGTAATTACTGAAACTTTTGCTGAAATTCGTGTACAATTTAGTGAAAGTTGGAAAAAAGAGGAAAGAACAAAAATTGAAGATGATTTTAAACAAGTACATAATAAATAATATAAATATAAAAATTAATTTTTTAAAAGAAAATTGAACGTTCAGATGATGGGTGGAAATTAATTCGTTTAGATAAAGAAGAAAAATTAAGTCCGAGAATTAAAAAATTTCAAAATGTAAGAGAATATAAGTAGATAATTAATTAATTATAATTAGATACTTCGTTCAACAGCCTTTCAATGTATTATTGTAACTTTAGTTTTGGCAAATGCTGGGATTAATGCATCTTTTGTTTATAAACATGATGAAAGTGATGCAAAAAGAAGAGAAATTTACTATTGGATTGAAGTAAATACTTAAATTTAAAAATAATATTTTTAATAGGGTTGTTGGCGACCGGTTTTAAAACCGGAATTTTTGAAATTTTTTCCCAAAAATTAACCGTTTTAGAAAATTTTAAAAAACGGAAATTTGTGAAAATTAGTGATTTTATTAAAAATTCCCCCAAAATAAAACCTGGCTTCTAAAACCGAAAACCGGGTTTCTAAAATTTAGATTAACCGAAAATCGGGGGTACCTGTTAATAACTAGTCGACAACAACCCTAATTTTTTAAAAAAGGTAGCATTTACTATATTATTTGATATTGAATGTTTTATTAAATTACTTTGTTATGGCAAACAATTCTTTAAAAGAAATATTTATAAATTTGAATTAATATTAGTTATTGGGGGGACTTTAAATGTTTTTAAATATTTTTATCATCAAAATTATTTTACTTATTTTCAAGGTAAGGAAAGAATTTTTTTGGAATACCAATTTTTTTAAAGTTTTCCGCCTTCTTCGTTTAATTAAAGCTTCTCCAATGCTCGAAGATTTTGTTTATAAAGTTTGGAAATTTAAAAATAATTTTTATTTTTCAATTTTATTTTTTTAAAGATTTTTAGTCCAGGCAAAAAATTGGGTGGTTTAGTTCTTTTTACTTTTACTTTTGCTATTTGGGCGTCAGCAGTTTCTTTGCAATTATTTTGTACAGTCCCAAATTTAACACATTTCCAAACATTTCCCCAAGCATTTATGGCTATGTTTCAAATTATAACACAGGAAGGATGGACTGAATTTGTGGTTTTTGATAAAAAATATTTTTTAAAAAAATTATTTTTTTAATAAAAAGGTTGAAGTTTTAAGAATGATTGATGATAGAATGGTGCCTTTTGTTGCAATTTATTTTGTTGCTTATCACCTTTTTGTGACATTAATTGTTTTAAGTCTTTTTGTTGCTGTTATTTTAGATAATTTAGAAATGGATGAAGAATTAAAAAAAGTTAAACAATTAAAAGCTAAAGAAGCGGTAAAAAATAATAATTATTTTTGGGGAAATAATTAATTTTAATAAATATTAGACAGCAGTTAAAACAACCCTTCCTTGGCGTCTTAGAATATTTGAGAAATTTCCAACAAGACCACAAATGGTGCATTTAAAGAAAGTAGTCAATGAATTTAATACTCCAAAAGTTAGAGATTCTTTTACTAATCAAGTATTTTGAATATTTTTTTGAAGAAAAAAATTTTTTTGTTTAAAGTTTGTTTGGAGTGAAAAAGCCGAACAATCAAAACTTGCTATTTCAACTGCAAAATTACTTACCCATTTAGAAAATAGTTTTTAATTATTTTAAATTATTAAAAAAGTTTTTTTAATATTTGAAGAAGCACAAACAAGAATGTTATCTAAATTTGCTGCTAAAAGCCGTTCATCATCTAAAAAGCCTCAAGACAGTTGTCTTTATAAGAGATATGTAGGGCATTGCTCAATGCGCTCTCTTTTGAAAAATTTAGTGAAGTAAGCTTTAAAAATATTTAAATAAAGTGATTAATTAGGAGAAATTAAATTATTAAAGATAAAGTTAGAAACAGAGTATGTTGTTTAGTCAATTGTGATTAAATTTTAGTGTTGTTATATTTTTAAATTAACTTTGTAGGGATGCTTCAAAGGAAGGACAGTCTCAAATGGGCGGTATGGGACTTGGCCCCTCTGGCACAAAAGCGAGAGGAAAGTCAATGAGTTTTTTTGAACAAATACTGACTGAGAATGGAGATATTAATCGAGAACATGTTGGACAAACAAAACAAGCAAACACATTCTCTGGGGCGACAGCAACGGCAACTACAACAATGACAACTTCAACACGACGAGATCTAAAACAAGGGCAATTTGATATACGTGCATTACAACATAAACAACAAATGGCAGAAATTACTCGGTAATAAAATTACCTCAAAGTAGTGATAATAGATTAATTAAAAAAGGATCTTTTGAGGAAGATAATTACAAATTATACTTTAAATTCCCATTAATTTTCAGTAATCGGATTGAAGAGGAAATGCGAGAAAATCACCCTTACTTTGACCGCCCATTATTTATTATTGCCCGAGATTCAAAATTAAGACGTTATTGCCATCGTATAGTCCATGCCCGTTGGGGAGGTGATGGATCCATTGGTTTAGGAGATACAATGAATGGTGGCTCTAGAACAGCAAATGCTGGTGGTGGAACTAAAAGGAATAACCAAATACAGTTTTAATAGTTAATTTAGATTAATCTTATTTAACAATTTAGCGAATTGTTGGGATTGATGCCTTATTTGGATTGGACAATGGTGTTGATTACATTGTAGTTTTATTATATTTAATATTAATCTCAACATCTTTATTTTCATTATTTATTAGAATCTCCTGTGGTTCTATGCTTTTCGAAAATCCCTGGCCAACTACTGGCGAAAATTTAGTTATGTTTAACTTTTATTTGCAGGTGCATAATTGAAATTAACTTAATTTGAAAGAATTTATTATTTTATAGATTCCTGATTATTTATTTGTTTTGGCAATGACTTTGGAATTAATTGCCAAAATGATTGCAGATGGTCTCTTTTTTACTCCAAATGCTTTAATTAATGATTTTGGGGGTGTAATGACTGTTTTTATTTATTTGGTTATTTAAATTCTTCCATAAATTATTTTTTAAAAATTATTTAGACGAGCTTAACATTTTTAATTTTAATGCCAAAACATGTTGAGATTAACTCTTTGGAGCAATTTTTAATGATTTGTCGAGCAATGCGTCCTTTAAGGATTTATACTTTAGTGCCGCATATTAGGCGTGTTGTGTTGGAATTATTTCGCGGATTTAAAGTAATTTTATAAATTTTAATTTATAGTAGGATATTTTAATTATTTATTCCTAAATCAAATTTTCTTCCAAAGCCTCTACCTCTTTTTCCAATTTATTCCAAATTATGTCCAAATATTTTTTCTGACAACTTATACTTAATTATTCTAGATGGTCTTCATCTCTTATTTTAGAAAATATTCATATATTCCTCCAACCTGAAAATTATCTTCATTTATTTTTAAATTTTATCCCAAATGAATTTAAAATAATTTAATATTAATTAAACTTTTCTAAATTACTTTCAAAAGGAAATATTACTTGTAACAATTTTAATGATTGTTGTAATGTTTATTTTTGCTTCTTTTGGTGTCCAAACTGTTGGAGGTAAATTAGCTGCATGTAATGATTTAACTATTAAACATCGAAATGAATGCCATGGTGTTTTTTGGCAAAAAGTTTTTGTAACAAGATTAGAAATTTACGGGAAAAATAATGATACAATGCATCCAAAAGTGTTGGTACCTCGTGTTTGGTTATTTTATTTTACGAAAATATTTTATTTTAAATTTTAGGACGAATCCCCGAAATTTTAATTTTGATCATATTGGAGCTGCAATGTAAAAAATAAAATATTAAATTATTTTTTATACCTTTTTTAGGTTAGCTTTATTCGAAACACTCTCATACAAAGGATGGAATGTTATTAGGGATATTCTTTGGGCACGTCAAGGACCTGTAAATTTTATTTTTCCTTTAATCTCTAAAATAATTTGTATTATAGTGGGCTGTTGTATTTATTCACATTTATGTATTTATTGGTTGTATGATTGGACTTACATTATTTGTTGGGGTTGTAATTGCTAATTATACTGAAAATCGAGTAATATAGATAGACTAATTAATTTAATAAAAAAATAATTAAAGGGAACTGCTCTACTTACAGTTGACCAACGTCGATGGCATGATTTAAAAGCTCGTTTAAAAATGGCCCAACCTCTTCATATTCCCCCAAAACCCTCAGAATCAGCAATATTTCGACGAAGTATTTACGAATTAACAATGAGTAGATTTTTTAACCAATTATTTGCTGCTTTGGTTGTTTTAAATTCTGCAACTTTAATTTTCCCGTGGAATGTTGAAGAGGAAGAAATGAAGAATGAAGTTCTTTTTATTGTTACTGTGATATCGGCAGCTTTAAATTTACTTTTTGCTGTAGAGGTAGGTTTACTTAATTGGATTAATTTATCTGGATAATATAAAATAGGAAATAATTTGTTAAATTATTACTATGACTTAACAAGCTGTTTCTTATTACTTGAGCCTCTACTCAGAGACATTTTTAATATCATTTGTCATTAATTATTTGCAAAGTTAGGGAATGCACAGCCCTTATTGGGATCAAAATTAAATTCTAAAAATTTCCATTGGGTCAGACCCTGTTAAGTAAATTATTTGATTAGAGATTCAATTTGCCCTTCTTTAGGTTTTACTCAAAATGTTTGCCTTCACTGTAACAGGATTTTGGCAAAGTCGACGTAACCGTCTTGACCTTTTAATTACAGGGATGGGTAAATAAAAGTTTTTTTAATATTATTTAAATTTAATTAAAGGTTTATTTTGGATAAGTACTCACTTCTTTGTTGCACTTCCAGCTAGTGCTGTAGGCGGTGAAAGTAGACTAAAACGTTTTACTTATACTTTTGGATATATTGTTGTCATTTTACGTTTCTTTACTATTGCTGGTATTTTTATTTTTATTTAAATGTAAATTCATTTGTGAATTAAAAATTAATTTTTAGGTAGAAACAACACATTAAAGATGTTAATGTTGACCGTTGTAATGTAATAATTAAATTATTTTAATTAAAAATTTACTTTAAAATTTAATTTCCACAATAATAATTATTTAATATTAATTAAAAATTAATATAAAGGTCAATGTTTCGTTCATTCTTTATCATTATGGCAATGGTATTGCTTGTCCTCTTTTATGCTTATACGGGTGTTATTCTTTTTGGGATGGTCAAATATGGACAGGCTGTCTCTAAGTTGATATTATTCTTTTATATTTCTTCACTCAAAATTACTATAGACATGTAAATTTTCGTTCTGGATCAGAAGCCCTTGTTGTATTATTTCGAAGTGTTACTGGAGAAGATTGGAATGATATTATGCATGATACTTCAAGAAGTGCCCCTTTTTGTTATTGGCTTCCAGGTGCTAATTATTGGGAAACTGATTGTGGAAATTATTTTGGAGCTATAATTTATTTTTGTTCATTTTATTTAATTATTACCTATATTGTTCGAAATTTATTGGTTGCTATAATTATGGAAAACTTTTCTTTATTTTATTCATCCGAGGAGGATGCTCTTCTTTCTTATGCAGATATTAGAAATTTTCAAATGGTTTGGAATGCCGTTGATGTTGAACAGAAAGGGCAAATACCTGTTAGAAGGGTTAAATTTTTGTTGAGATTATTGAAAGGACGATTGGAAGTAGATCCAAATAAAGATCGTTTACTCTTTAAACATATGTATGTATACAGAAATTTTTTTGTAAATTATTTTTTTCTAAGGTGTTATGAAATGGAGAAATTACATAATGGGGATGATGTTTCCTTTCAAGATGTTCTTTAGTAAAAAATAATTTAAGTCAAACAAAAATTAATTATTTATTAAGCATGCTTTCATATCGAAGTGTTGATATTCGCAAGTCTTTACAATTGGAAGAACTTTTACAACGTGAAGAGCTTGAATATATAATTGAAGAGGAAGTAGCAAAACAAACGTAAAAACAATTTTTTTATTTTGAAAAATTTTATTTTTAGAATAAAAACTTGGTTAGAATTTTGTCTTAGACAAATGCGTTCACCTGGACTGCCACCATCTCAACAGCAACAACAACAACAATTTACACAACAAAAACAATTACAACAACAAACAGCTAGTAGCCGTTCATCTGTACCTATTCATAAACCCTCAGCATTTACATTTTCAGCAAAATCCATTTATGGTAAAGTTAAAGAAAATATTTTATTTTTCTTAAGCTGTTGTGATAAATACATCTATTTAAAAATCTGATTCAGAAATTAATGATAATCAAAATATTTGTTAAATTATGAAGGATTTCCTTAAAAATAGTCTAAAAATCAAGATTATTTATTTTTATTTTTCTTCTTCAAGCTTTCGACTCAGCCACGTTAGCAGCAGCTCATTCAAAAGTTGCTATTGAAAGACATCAACGTCAAAGTTTAGGTTCTCCCCGTATAAGCCCTTCTAAACAATCTAAAATTGTTGATGATAAAGAATTTGTTGGTGAAAATGCCGATGGAAAAGAAGTATTTTTAGAAGAAGAAAATATTGGAGAATTAAATAATAATAATTATCAGCCACAAAGAAAATCAAGTTTAAGCGATATTTTAGAAGTAAGAATTTGAGAGAAGAAAATTATTTTTAAAAAATATTTTAGGGGGCATCACGTCGTTTTGCTAAAAGACCTAGTGGATCTAAAAAATCAGTTGTAGCCCTCCCTTTTGAACGTTTGTATGCTGATCAGTCTTCACCTCCACCATTTTCTTTCGCTTCTACTTTTAATCAACAACAAAGAAACAGATCACAAACACAACGTACACTTCAGGTGGTTTACATTTGGATGATTATTCTAAAAATGGAAAGGAGATTCTGGAATTTTATTTCGAAAATCTTGTTAAAACTCCATATAATTTTGTAAAAAACTTTAAAAAATAATTTCCAGCTTTCTGCTCATGAATTGCTTCCAGATTTAGAAGAATCACAGAGTGAGGAAAATCAACTGACTGTTGGCAGTGGAAGTAGTATTATTGTAAATAAAAGAGTGAAGAGCATTGAACATGTAAATTATCTAGATAATTTAAAAATTTAATAAAAAATATAGTATAATTTTTCTTAAAAATATATTTCCTTATTTAGAGTCCTCCTCGACGAAAAATCAGTTCCTTGTTACGACTCGGTTCCTCTGCTCCAACTTCAGCAACTTCTCATACTTCATTACCACAACAACCACTATCACGAAAAACTTCGACAGCCACAAGTGAAATAAATTCTGGACAAAAACAACATAAACACAGTGCTAATTCTCCTATTTACGTTTTGGAGGAGAGCACAATAAAAGTAAAATTTAAACAAAATTTCATTAAAATTTTAAAAATATTTTTCTTATATTAAAGACAGAGGAACAAGAATTTCCACCTCCCCTTTCAAGCGAAGAAGTAAGTTTAAATAAAACACAAATATTAATTGATGAAGTTAATGATTGGTGGGGGGAAGATGAAGATGGAAATATTTTGAAGGAAGATATAATTAATGAGGAGGAAGAGGAAGACGGAGGAGGAGAATATGAATATAGTTGAATCACTCAAAAACTATATCCAGATTCGAATGCCACTTACTTAAGAGATGTGGGAGAGTAACGGAGGATTTACTATATATAGAATAAATTAATAAAAATGAAATATTTTTTTGTATTTATTGTTTAAAATAAATTGTTAGACTTTATACCTCTTAACCCTGTTTATTTGAGCTGTTTGTTATATGTATAAATATTAATACATAGATTAAATTTTTAAATTAAATTTTATTTATTTTAGTTTAAAACAAGCAATATTTATTTAAATTAACAAAAATATATTTATTATTTTATTTAATTTTAGCGAATTCATCGATTGGAATTGCATTCATCCTCTCTTATTTAATAGACTATTGACAGCCTATGTCAGCTCTATCCAACAAATATACATTAAAAACTATATTTATTTTCCCTTAAATTTGCTTTTTAATAAAATAAATAATTTTTAAATTAATTTTATTCTTAAAACAAAAATAAAATTAATTTTAGGCAATAATCAAAAATTATTTAATACATTAAATTAATAAATTAATATTAAATTGTATTAAATTAATAAAATGTTAAATAAATTTAAAAATATTAACTAAGAAGTTTTTGGTTATTTATTAAATAGTTAAAATTTATTTGCATTTTTTTTATTTTAGAAAAACTACATTTTATTTAAAAAAATAATTTTTATTTTCTGTTAAAAAATGGGAAGTGTAAATTCTAAAATCGATGATAGTTGGCGTATGTATGTTTTATTTTAGTAAATAATTTATGTATTTTTTACTATAAAATTTATTTTAAATGAAATTTTTGAATATCCCCAATCGAGGAATGACATGATAAAAATTCTGTTTATCTGGAATCTCGAGATTTCCATTTAACCGAATTTTGCAGACCTTAGAAGGAGGCGATGTCGGATAGGCCGTCGTCATTATTTAGATATTCAATTTATCCTTAAAAGAATATTAATTTTTAAAAGTAAAATACAAAATTATTATTTTTAGCGATTCAATACCTTGTGGGCATTACAGATGCTCCACTGCGATTGAAATTTGGCGTAATCGTATTTTTTTATATGGTAGATATATTTTTGAATATTTTTTTCAAAAAATATTTTCAAGGCCTTACACATTCTATTGTTGTAGTTAAATATAAATGTGACTATTGTGAGGAAGAATTCTATAGATCATATGATTTTACAGTTGATGGAGTGCGTGTAAGGTGTATTTTTCGAATTTTATTTACCCTAGAATTTCTGAATATTCAGCTTTGGAAGGCCGGAAAAATCAAAAGTAATTTATGATTGGAAAGTACATTGCACTGAGGGATTAACGTTTAGTCAAATTGAAAAACTTTCTGAAAATGTTAAAACTACTTTCCGTTTCTTCTTTTCAGCAGAAAAATATGATTTATTAAAATATAATTGCCATGATTGGGCACTCGATTTTGAGAAGCTTCTACGATCTCAAAATAATTGTTCGGGGAAATGTCCAGGCTGTAAAAAATATAAATTGGAATATTTTCCACTTAAAATTAAAACTTGGATGATTTCTGATGCTGCAAAATTATCTTTTATACTATTGAATGTACATCTTGGAAATAATCAAAGGGAGGAAAAAAAGTATAAAAACTTTGGATTTTAGTAAATATGCATAAAAATTGATCAATCTGTTTGTTAAGGGTTGGTTGTTCAGTTGGTTGTTGGCATTCTTTCCTCCTTTTTTAGCTGCAAAAGTTTATAATTATAATTTATTTAAAACTTATTTAAATTTATTTAAAGCGCTATCAAATAAAGTTTAATTTTAACCATTTAGGATATAACAATTTCTAAAAATCTCAAAAAATTCGAGACCAAGGCAAGCCCAAAACAACAACTGAAAAGGCAATCTTATGTATAAAATAATCAAATTAAGACTTCATCTTTTTATTAACTATTTTACTCATGTATCATGTAACTTTCATTTATTTTCTATTAAAAGTTTGTTCAAAATTTATTCCACAGATATACTATTTACTATTAGTATATATGTAATTATTTTTAAAAGGTTGATTTCAAGTTTATACAGTAAATATTTCCATTTTGCATTCAATATTTTTTTATAATTTTCAAAATAAAATGGTTTCTATTAAATTAAATTTTTTATAAATAAATTATTTTATATAACTCAATTATTAATATCATTTAAAATTTTTATCGTTAAATCTTTAATATTTATGGCAATTTTATGTATAAAATAATCAAATTAAGACTTTATTAAGTAAAATGTTCATGAAGACCTATAATAGAACAGTTTATAAATTTTAATTATTGGATGAATTTAAAACGTAATTTCGTTTTAAAAATTTATTTTGTTAGAAATTGGAGTGGATATTACTTAGATAAAGTTTTTTAAATTGAGACATTTTTCCAAATTTATATACCCATCTTTGAGTTAACGGGTATGGAAGTATACTCCATTATACATTTTTAACTATTAAGTGACTATAATTTGGCTCATAATTGTGTATGTTTCGATATAAATTATTATTAAATTTTCTATATTATTAAATAATCTGAACATATGTAGATATTAATTATAATTTCTTCTTAAACATTGCCGGCGGATATATTAAATATTTGTAAAGATTGATTAAATTAATAAAAAAACAAAAACATATTCTCGTTTTCCATTCATCTTTTCGTTCTTTAAACATCAACTCAGCCATCATATTTTGTTAAAAAATAATCTCGATAATTGATCTCCCCAAAGAAATAACCAAAAAACTTTTAGAAGATCCTGAATTTGGATTATAACAAATTAATTTAAATATAAATTGACTTAAATATTTTTGACAGATTATCTCAAAATAAATTATTTAAATTATTAATTTCGTTTTCGAAATAAAAAATAAAAATCATTTAAATTTACTAGATAATAGATTAAGGCACATATGTAAGCGACATATTTCTTTACTTTTACTTTAAAAGTTGTATGTACGATCTTGAATTTTAATGAAAAAAAATTTCATTTTTTTCTTCCAAAAATTTTTTTATATTTTCACTTTTTTCCTTTTTTTATATTTTTCTGCTCCCGACAATCCAAAAATAATAAATACTTTTTCAATTCATTTTCACGTTTTGTTCAATGCCTTATAAATTTATTTTTGAGCAAACAAACAAAAAAAAGTATTGAAAATAAAAATTTTTTAACAAAAATACCTAAATATGTTAAGAGGTTTTTTTAAATAAACACTCGTTAATTCTTTTAATCATTTTTTATTGTTATTTTGGTGTTCATAAAAATAAAAGAAATTAAAATAATTCAATAAATTTCAGGTTTGAAGTTTTCACCCTTTTAAAAAAATTCTTTTCAAACTTTTTATTGTCATTCTTTTATTTTATAGTTTATAAAAACACATTTCAAAATTTTAACAAAAATATTTTTAGGAAATTAAAATTACTCACAATATTTTCATTTTTAATTTCCTTAGTAATTTATTTAATTTTTTTTATTTTACCAAGATTAGAAATAACAATCTAATTATTTCTAAATAAAATAAAAATAGAAACAAAATTTATTTTTATGTTAAATTAATTTAAATTGATTAATCAAATTTTTTGATTGTCTTATTTCTAAATTAAATTATAAACTGGTTAATAAAAACACATACATATAAATAATATGATAAGTAATTTAAAATTTATTTAATAATTCAATTTTTGATTATTCTATTTGACATAATAAAATCGAAAAATACTTCGTCAAGCATCAAAAGGCTTGTGGTTTTTTTAATTTAAGAAAATCTAATTTGTTTAGTAATTTTAATTTTGTTTAATCTTTTCTTTTATTTGTTTGACGTAATTTATCCTTTTCATTTGCCAGATAAAATTTTTCTTCTATTTTTATCCTCAAACAATGAAGGATTTATGTATCCCACAAAATAAAAGGATGATCACCTGTCATTTAAAAAGGTAAAAGTTGAAAGATTAAAAAAGAACACATTTTTATATTTGTGGACGTTCATGAAGAATGAACTTGGAATTAAATATAAAAATGTCACTAAAAGAATAAATAAAAACACAAAGAAAACTGAAATCTAATCCTGTGGAATTTTTATAAAAATTATTTTTTAAATTTTTTTCTAAATTTTTAAAATTTCTGTTAGAATGGAACTATTTATTTTTAAATACTCTCAAAAGTGTTGCTTTCAATGGAAAAAGTGTTTTTTTGGGTTTTTTTTAAGAATTAGGAAATTATTTTATTTAAATACTTGAAATTTGAAGATTAGTAAATATATTGTCATATATGCAGGTATTTTAGGAAAGAATAAATGTCTTGAGTGAATAAATAATGTTAATCACTATTAGAATTCATCCTTGCAAAAAATTTATTATTTTATAACATGTCTTTTTAAAATAAGCATTTAATTTCAATCCTGCTCTTTTGTCATTATTTTTTTGTTTTTATTTAATCATTTATTAGTAATCATTTATGATCTTTTTGTAAATTTCTTCTAAGATTTTACGATTGTTTGGTCAAATAAATGTTGAAAAAATTAAAATATACTGTTAATTATTTTATCCTTTTCTGAGGCTTCCGTAAAAATATTTTATTCAAAAAATGACAGGCGATTAATGAATCTAAATTTTATCAATTTTTGTATTCCCTCAATCCAAATAATTTTGTAATATTCAAATCATTCTCTCATATGTATAATCCTTTAAAGATTTTACTAACAACCATACTTTATTTTTTCCCATACTGATTTAATTACTTAAGGGCCAGAAAAAGAAGAGCAAAGGCTGTTAGATTAGTCTTTTTCGATTAACTAATTTCCGATTAACTTTTAGAAAAAAAGCTTCAACACTAAAAATTAACAATTAAATTTTTGTTCGGTTATGCGTCCTTTCTTCCAGCACTGTATGTTCTGGGATATGTTGTTCTGCGCCTTTTCTAGTTCTTAAAATACTAATTTTTATTTTCATATTTTTAATATTCTTAATTTAAATAATTTATTTATTTTTTAAAGTTATTATACTATAATCTCATAATTAAACTTTTTATTTTTATTCCTTAACATTCAATTTATTTTTTGAATGTTTTTTTATTTTAATTTATCCCCAAAATGACTAATTATTTCTTCACATCTTTATTTATAACCCTTTATTAAACCCCTTTTCATAATTTCATTAATTTCACTTCCGTCACCCACCCAGAATTTTTCTTCCTTTTATTTTCTTTTTTTAAACTTACATCAATCGACAGACTAATTGGCGGCGCATATGCAATTGTAAATCGACGAATTACGGCGATTTTTCCGTTTTTATTTAATAGGGATTGCTTTCAAAAATAGAAAAATTAAATTTATTTGGAATGATTAATTTAAAATAAAATATATAAATTGACTAACCACGCATGTTAATATAATTTCATAAAAATTATCTGTAAATTCTTACGTAAAAATTAAGAAAAGAAAAGTTTTTTTAAACATTCTTACCCTAAATTATTTGTAATACAAAAATTGTGATTTTATATAAAGAGAAAATACCTACATATATATTAAATAAATTTGTATGGTTGCCAAAAATGATTGTTGATTTTAAATAAAATATTTAAAAATAATACTAAAATTATTTTCTCTAGCTGTTGTCTTTAAAATTAAAATTTTCTTTTAATTTTATATAGATTTATTAATTATTTTTAAATTAAAAATGGAAAAGCTTTTAATTATTTTATTTTATTTATTATTTATTTATTATTATGTACAAGCAAGCATTTCTAACATAAACTACAGGCCAAAGGTTCCTAAATTTTTATTTAAATATTTTCTAAAAAATATTTAAAGGGCAACAATCCATTGCTATACGAACCTGGCACTGATCCAATAATTCATTTGGATGCAGACACTTTTGTGGACACAGTATTAAGGCCGGACAAGGAAAAGGCTTATCTAGTGGAATTTTATAAGGATTGGTAAATGAATAAAAAGAAATTAAAAGAGAATATTTTAAAGGTGTGGTTATTGTCGTCGTTTTATGCCCTGGTACAAAGTTTTAGCTGGAGCAGTCAAAACTTGGCCTTTTGTCCAGGTAGCAGCTATTAACTGTGCAGATGCTTATAATGTAAAAATATGTAGAGCAAACGATATTCCAACAGTTCCTAAATTAAAAGTATTAAAAATAAATATTTATTTAATTAATCTGTTTGTTTTTTAAAGTATTTTTCACGTAATGCAACTTCTTTTGCTGATGGCCAAGTAATTGAACATTCATATAATTCAGCAATAGAAATGAGACAAAGATTACATGCAAAATTGTTGGACGAATTTGATAAAGAAATGGAAAAAGGAAATTCTAATTATTATTTGGGTGAATTACAATATGAGAGGAGATGGTAATTTTTTGTAAAAATACATTAGAATATTTTTCATATTTTTGAATTAATAATTGTTCCCTCCTCAAACTCTTTTTTTGGCAATTTTCGGGGGATCTCATAGAGATATAAACTTTTGGTCTTAATAAAAGTACATATATTTGTTAACCGAGAATGTTATACATATAATCACATATTAATCAAAAACGTGGTTTCTTAGCAGACAAAAATTTTAAACATTTAATTAACTATAATAAAATTATTAATTAAATAAACAATTCAATCCTACTCCATTTTCAGTAAATTTGCCAAATTATGCAGTACATCACTTCCAGCTCCTCCAAAAAGTGTTTATGCTCCAACATTTTCATATGCTGTAAATACACAAATGCAAGACCCGTGGGAGGGTGTTTCTAACGGAACAAAATTTTTAGTCTATATTTTTGAAAGAAATCCAGAGAAAGGATTGCCATTCTCCTTAGATTTATTATTATTTAAACCACAAGTTGAAGTTCGTCGAGTACTTGTTTGGGGGCCTAATGATGTTAGACTAATGGTTGAACAGAAAAATAAAAAGAATGGAGATGAACAATTACCTTATGTTGTTGTATTGGAAAGAGGAGGGAAAACAGAACCTTTAATGGCTGAAAGGTGAGAAAAAAATTTGAATAGAAAGTGTTAAAGGAAAATAATTTAATTTAAAGTATAACTGATTCAACATTACCTAAATTACACGAATTAATAAATCCTTTAATGGAACAAATAAATCAGACAGAACAAGCAGAGGCGCATGCTAAAAAGCCTATTCATGTATTGGATTGTGCAAAGAATCCAGAAAGGTAGTAAAAGATTTATTGAAAAATAAGAGATTCCAAAAATATTCCTTTAAATTATGAAAATAATTTAGTGATTTAGTTAAATTTAACATGCATTTCTAGATGCAAACAACTCTTTTATGTATCAGAGTCTGATATGCTTAAAGCAATTCATGCAGCACTTTTAGATGAAGTAATAAGTTCTGGTGGAAATGAATTAGATTCTCAAAGAATTTCTAATTTAAAGAAATTCTTAGATTTATTAATACAAGTGAGGGGATTAAATAAAATAGGTATAAATTAAATTTTTGAACATTTTAGCGTTTTCCAAGAAAAACATTTGAGCGTTCGTTACCTCCAACACATCCAAAAAGTCTTTCTGTTGGAAAGGTAAATTATTTTAATTAAAAAATAAATTCAAAAAACTCGTATTTTAGCCTTTATCATGGAGTTTAAAAGCAATACAAGTATTTAATAGAATGAGGCAATTTTTGGATAAAAATGAAATAATTACAATGGATGATTGGAAAAACGAATTTGATGCTGCAAAAGTAAAAAAAAAGAAAAATAATTTTAAAAAATAAATTAAAATTTTAGGCAGAAAATTCCGAGCCTTTCCCAATTCAAGCAGAGTGGGAACACTGTAAAGGAAGTAAACCGATATTTAGAGGTTTTACTTGTGGATTATGGACTGCATTTCATGCAATGACTGTTCAAGCTTATTTAAGTAAATTTAAAAAAACTAATTAAAATTAATTTTTATTTTTTAAATAAAGATAATGAACAAGAATCGTTAAAACCATTAAAAGCCATCCAAGCTTGGGTCTCTTCATTCTTTAGTTGTTCTGGTTGTCGACGCCATTTTATGTCCATGACTACCGAGAAATTCCCGATGGATGAAAGAAATGTAAAGAACTTTTAAGTAAAAAAATAATTTAAATATTTAAAAAGGTTAAAACTAGAGAAGATATTGTTGGCTATTTGTGGAAAGCACATAATACCGTTAATGCTAGATTACATGGAGATGAGGCAACTGAAGACCCTCAATTTCCTAAAGAACAATTTCCCCCTTCTTTTCTTTGTCCGGAATGTAGAGATTCTAAAGGGGAATTAGATCAGGTACTTAATTAAGAAAAAAATATTATTTTTTCACTATTTTACAATTGTCCTCCAATTAAATTAAATTTATAACAATTACTTTTTAAAGGAAAGAACATTAGATTTTTTGCTTCAATTCTCAACAAACATTAAACCCAGACAATAAAACGACGAAGAAAATTAATTATTTTTTATATAATGGTATTTATTATATTTAAATATGTAAATTAATTTTTTAATTTAAAAATATTTTTTGATTTATATTTTGATTTTTATTTTATTTTTGCCTTAAAATGTTTATTAAATAAACATATTATTTCATTAATTGTTTAGCGATTGTTAGACTTTCTTAATTTTATTAATTACAATTGTGCCTATTATTTATTATTATTTAATAGAGCCCCGGAAATTAAGCATTTTATTGTCAATTAAATGCGAATAATTACTTTGTTCTGTTCTATTAATTTAAAGGGATTGGTCAGAAAAATAATTTAACCATAGCGGGTGCTTAGATAAGTTAGTTGCCACTTTACTACAAACAATATATATCCTCAACAATCTCCATTCACATGTGAGTACATAAATAGCTGTGGGTTTATGTACTCACATGTTGCGCCAAAAAAGCATAATGATTGCAATCATTTAATTATTTTTTTTTGATTTAATTCCCTTAAACAATCACGGATGGGGAAGGAATATAACCTAGGATATAAAAAATATTTACAGTCGAATCCCGATAGGATATCATTGTCTGGATCGAATTTATTGAGAGAGATTTACTAACAGATGTGTTATCAAGATCTGTATTTGTTTTTTAATAGAGACCCGGAAAATTATTTAACTGACTGACCAATCTATTAATCATAAAAATCTTTTTAAATATTTTGTATTTAAAATTTTGTTAGTTATCATATATTATACATATATTTAATGAAACCTATGGGTATTTGGAATAAAAAATATTTTAATAATTTTAAAATTCAATAGGAAAAGAAATTTTATTTTTAAAATATTTAACAAAAGAAAAAATATATTTAAAAATTAGAAAACAAACAAAAATGAATTTTGGGGATGAGTGGAATTTTTCAGAACGAATCAACCAAATCAACAATATATAAAATTATTCACGGGATATTTTTATGAGGGAAAATAAAAATAATAAAATGTTTTTCACATATTAAATTTGTAGAAAATTTGTAAATTTGTAAAAAAATGGGAAACAAAAATATTTAAAGAAAAGAGTAAAATAATAATTTTAGACTAAATATTTTGGAAATAATAATTTCAGATAAATTAATTAAAAATATATTTTTAAATTCAAAATATTTAATTCGAAAATAAAAATTTATAAACAAAAATATATTTTATATTTTGGTAATTTTTTAATTGAGATTGGAACTTTGAAGTGATTTGGGGCATTTATTCAACTAACTTTAACATGAATAAATACCCCAAACCCTTATTATATTCCAATCATTTAAAATATATTGCGTGATAAAAATATTGAGAAAATAAACATCAAAAAATGGCCAAATAAAGGAAAAAAATTGACTCAGATTAAATTAAATAACCGATGTTAATAAGAAAAGGAAATAAAAGATTATTATTTACAAAAAAAAGAAAAAATTTTAGTGAAAAAAGGGACAATTAACTAACTAAAAGATTAAAATTTCTGTAAAAATTAGAATAACAAAAATAATTAATATATTAATTGATAAAATGTCTAATCATTTAAAAAATATTTTGTACATAATTTTGATCTCATAATTCTCTCAAATTAATAAAATAACTAAAAGATGAAAAGATTAAACTATTAATCAAAATTTTAATTTCAAAATAATTTTACTTTTTTCTTCTTCCCAATTCTTTTAAATTCATTGATCATCTTCTTCATCTTCAACAATCCTTAATTGTTTCCCATTACTAGGCGAATCAATTCCTTCATCTTGTGCTCTAATATTATTTGTTAATATTGAAGTATTATTATTTCCTTGTTCTAAAGCTGCTGCCGCCCTTTCACCTTCATTAATATCTTCATTATCATGTACTACAACATTAATTAAATTATTCTCATCATTTCCATTAAAATCATCCTCTTCAATATTTTCATTTAATTTTTGTTTGGAAGAATCAGAAGAAATATTTCCATCAACAATATTAATTGGATTATCATTATTTGACATTTCTTCTCTTTCTAATTGCTCTGGACCGGCAGAAGAACATTGAACATTCTTTGTATCAACAACTAAATCAGCAGAAGATGTTGTCCAAGCTTGTGTTGATTCAATGCCTGAGGAGTTACCGAGAGATGAACGAGCTGACTTTGCAGAAGGACCTTCTTCTGAGCCCATACCCGAGGCACGTTTCTTACTACCTGAAAAACAATTGCATTTTCCTTGAGAATATTTAAACATTCTCCAAATTCAAGGTTTTTTTTCGTAAGATGGGGTAGAAAACAAATGCTTCTAACATTCTAAGCACAGTCCTCAGAGGACTGTGCTTAGAATGTTAGACTAGACTAAAAAAACATAAAATTGTCTCAGGGACTGACTTAAAATATACATTTTTACAAAAATAAATTACCATCCAAGGATGTATTATTGTCAGTTCCTTGCTGTAGTTGTTGTTGTTGCTGTAGTTGTGCCTGCAATTGTTGAATTTGTTGTAATTGTTGTTGTTGCTGTTGTAATTGAAAATAATGTTGTTGTAATTGTTGAGGCGTTAAATTTCCTGGATATAAAGCTGTGGATAAAGGAACTGGTTGTTGAACAGTCATTTGCTGGGCGGATGCTAATTGTTGAGCAGTTCCAATACTTCCACGTCGATTAGTGTCAGAAATACCAATTAGACAAGTACGGCTAAGAACGCCTAAATCACCCCCTATTGCAGATGTTGTCAATGTATTTTCGCCATTTGAAGTTGTTGAGGGTATTGAAGCAACATGGGAGACATTGGTATTCGAAACTTAATTTTTGCTTTTATTTCATTACTTAAATTTGGGTTGTTAAAAAATTAAATACTTATTTCTAAAAGAAGAACACAGGATAGAATCAAGTGTAGGATAAAATCAAGTTATCTCTAAAAGAAGAACACTAAAAATAAACTATCTGTTTAGTAAAACTATTTCTCTCCTTTAGCTAGTGCAAAAAGTTATTAGGCGGCTGGGAGCGAACCAGCATCTTCAGTAGACCGAACTGATTACATTACACTCATCCATTACACCACGCCGACTTAGGAAATAAATAGCTAAATGCTTTACAATACTACTACATTTAAAGTAGTAATTCCAACCTTGGGCCAATGAAAGTGAAGCTGCATTAACAGCACCAACAGCAGAAACAGCATTAGCATTCGAAACAGACAAATTTGAAGGAGAGTGACTTAATTCTTCACGTGCTCGGCGAAAGATTTGATCAATCGGGCGAGAAGAGTAATCGATCTTTGAAAAATTTGAGATTTCTTCGATTAATTTCTTAAAAATTACTTGATTTCCATTTTGATCAAACTGTATTCCAGCACCTTGCCCCTGAAGATGAGAACGTGCAGAAGTTAACACATTATTCATATAATTCATCATTGCACTTGTAGAGATCTAAAAAATATTTTTTAAAGAATATTTCCTAAAAGGTCTAACCGCTGTAGATGTAGCCGTAGGTTGAGTTGATTGAGGGGAGGTAGATTGTGGAGTTGACGGTTTTTCTTCTTTTATGTTCATACCTATGAATTAAATTTTATATAAAATTAATAAAAATAATTATAAAGTACCAAGCATATAAACACCACTTTTGCGTCTTTGATTCAGTCCAGCACCAACTTCAAGTTCTGGAGGCTGCCTACCAGATTGTGGGGTGGCTGGTTTACTGAAAATAATTTTAATCTAAAATATTAATTCAAATTCTTTACGTTTTTCTATTTCCTCCTTCCTGTCGAAAAGTCTCTGTATAATGCATTTCTGTAGCAGCCAAAAGATTTGGAGCACCTTCAGTTTCAGCAGATGGAATCATCGACTGTAACAAGTTTGTGTTTGTACCTCCAGATTGTTGTTGTTGCTGTCCGTTGTTGCTTTGCGAACGTTGATTTGAAATAACATTCTAGAAATATTAAATAGAAAAATTTCCGATTAAATCACCGAAAAATTATTTGCCAAAGAAGTTTGTTGGTTCTGACTAGAGATTGGCCCGTTCTGTTGGTTCTGCTGTGCTAGTATTTGTTGTTGAAGTAATTGTTGTTGTAACAATTGATGTTGATGTTGGTAAATTTGTTGTTGTTGCTGAAGCAAAATAGCTGGAGGTATATTATTTCCATTACAAGCACCTCCTCCGGTTGAAATTATATTTCCTCCATTTCCCCCATTGCCGTTTCCTCCTCCGCCTCCACTTGATACCATTGGAGCAACAAGATTAGAATTTAAAGTTGCTGCCATTTCAACTAAACGTTTTTGAAGACTATCACTCATTGCTTCTTGACTGCGGAGGGCATTAAGACCACGCACTTTAAGTTCTCCCAACTCAGCCTTTAAAATTTTTAATTAATTAAAAGGCTTTGATTAAAAGTATTTACATTAAGAGGATTAGAAAGAATCATTGAAGACTGTTTTCTCGGTGCTGGATCAGTAGGCACACTGGCAGATCCAGTTTTAGGCGAAACAGAATTATTTCCAGATAAAGTTGTCTGTTGTTGAGACCCATTTACACTATTCCGACCATTTACTGGGCATGGAGTGCCATTTTTTGAGCTTCCCCCATGTCCATTTCCTTGAGTATTTGAATGGTTACTAGGTGTGGAATTTGGAGTACGATTAACAGAATTTCCATTATTTGTATTACTCCCATTGTTGTTTCCATTACTGCTGTTTAGAAAGTGAGTGCGAACAATCTAAAAAATAATCTTTTTTTTTAAATAAATTCAAAAAAATCATTTACATCATTCAAAGGTGTTTGTCTCTGATGCCCAGCAGAACCATTATCAGTTTGTTGCTGTTCTTGTTGTTGCTGCTGTTGTTGGGCAGCAATTACAACAGATAATTGTTGCTGCTGTTGTTGTTGTAACAATAATTGTTGCATTGCTGTTAATTGTGTTTGTTGCTGTGTTGTATTTTGTTGAGAAGAAGAACGAAGTTGTTGGACTATAAAAATTATTTTCAGATAACAAAATAATAATACCTGCTGCTCCAACATTTCCTGAACTCAAATCAGTTGATGAATCAACTCCCGTATTAGAAAGACTTGCAAGTTTTGCATTTTGTTGGCTTTGCTGATTAGCCATAAGTGCTGCCTAAAAGCCAAAAAGAGTTGGAACAAAATGGAGTGGATAAAATGTTAATTTACATATTTTTCCGGAAATTGTTTTTTTTTCGGAAATTTGTAATTTTAGTTTTAGTTACCAATTGATTCATTTGAAGTTGATTCTGAAAGCCAACAATTCCACCATGTAAAAGTTGCGCAGCAGCAGCTGCAGCATTGTTAGTAACACCACCAGCGTTGTTATTGTTTGATGGATTTGCAGATTTTTCACTTATTGAAGCAGCAGCAGCTGCAACGGCAGCAGCATCACTTTGAGCTCTTAAGTGAAATCAAAATAAATCTTATAATTTTTTTTCAAAATTTCAGTTAACATTTAAGGTAAGACAAAAAATAAAACCTTTCTTGTAATAATTGTTGACCAATAACATTAACAGATTTTTTATTTCCATAAAATTTTGATGGAATAGTCCCTCTATTTTGGATATTATTAAACTTTCCAGAAGGATTTTCACTCATTATAATATTAACTCCACCACTCCCTCCTCCTTCAATTTCATTTATTTTTCCACAATTTACCCCAATCCCTCCAAGTGTACTATCCGCTCTTCCATAACTTATTTGGCCTGTATTGTCATTATCCCCAGTATTTATTATTCCTCCATTTCCTCCAATTATTTGACCAATTCCAACAATTTGTTGGGGTAATTCCCCTCCTCCTCCAGTTTGTTGCAATAATATTAACCCTTGTGGAGTATTTGCTCCATTAGAAGAGGTATTTACTTGCCAAGAGATATTTTGCCCTATTTGTTCGTTTATTTGGGGATTTGGATTAAATTGAATTGTTTGACCACAAACAACACGATTTCCCTCAATATTACTATTATTACTAGTATCAACAATTGTCATTTGATTACCACTACAATTATTATTGTTATAAAAATATTATTTTTAATTTTAAAAAATTACTTTAATAGAGACTGGTGCATTAATAATTTTTGTTGCATCTGTAGCTGTTCACTGGCATTGTTTAACCTTCCAAAGAAGAAAATGTGGATATATGTATTATTTTTAAAATATAAAATAGTAATTAAATAAATTTATTTTATGCCACAATACCAATTATTCAGGAATAATGTTCGCCGAGTTAAGTCGAATATTACCGAGATTGGATGTTACGATCAATGTTAGACTGTGGAGATATTGATCATATTGATATCCGATTTTTCTTAAATTAACATTATTCGACTCATACCGACGGGTAAATATTTACTTCCATTAAATATCACCAATATGAGCCCAAACACAAGCCCTCTTTCTACTTTTAACCTATTTTTAAAATTATTTTTATTTAACTCACTCTTGTCCAGCTTGTGCTCCCGTTCCTGAATTATGAAGTAAAGCAAGTTGTTGCTGTTGTTGTTGCTGCTGTTGTTGTTGCTGTTGTTGCTGCTGCTGTTGAGAATTGATATGTTGACGAAGAAGTATAGCTCTAGCATGTTGAACACCAAAATTAAAGAAAAACCTGAAAGAAAAAAATAATTATCTAATGTATTTATTTTTTAAATTAACCTAAGTGTGTTAATATCATTTAATGGTAGATCCATTCCATTGGCCATGGCACTTGGCTGAACGTCCAAATTAACTTTTTGATAAGTGGCCATGTCGAAAAAAGGCTGAAAATTTGATTGTTATATTTTAGATAAAAAATTCTTCTTACAATGTTTACTATTGGCTGAAAAATTGGCCAAGCTAGAGAAGGAGTAGCCAAAGAAGGTACCAACTGTCCAGCATTGTTTGCCGAAACATTTTGTCCGACATTAGAAGCTAATTGTGGATGTTGTACTGCTACAGCCATTCCAGGAGGTAAAGAAACAGATACACCTGTATTGCCATTATTAGCGACAGCTGCTGCTGCTTGTTGTTGTTGCTGCTGCTGTTGCTGGATTGAAGCAACAAATTGAGCCTGAAAAAGATCTTAATAAATAAAAGCATGGACTGAAAATAGTAAATAAAGTCAAAATTTAAAGGAAAGTTTGGAAATCGTTTAAAATTCTGCAAAATATTTTATGAGCAAAAATTAAATATTTTATCATTTGTTTGTTTATAGTGTTACAATTACAAAAAAAAATTTAAAAATTGGCAATAAAATTTTCCAAAAGAATTCTATGTAGTTTGAGAAAAAAATATTTTGTGAATAAATAAAACAATTTTTATTATTTTCCAATTTTTATTATTTTTTTTATAATAAAATTCCAAAATTATACTATAGAAGAAATATTTTTTCATTAATTTACATTTTTTCCACTTGCCTGGGCAAGTGCTGCAGCCATAGGATGTGTTGCCGCCGAACCTGCAGCTGCCGTTTGCTGTAATTGTTGTTGCATTACAGCTTGAAGTCCAACAGAAGTATTTGTTGGTTGTTGGGAATGTGGATGTTGTTGCTGAGCTGCAGCGGCAACAGCAGCCATTTGTTGCATCAAAGAAGTTGCGTGTATTGTAGATTGATGTTGGCCAGCTTTAAATTAAGTTAAAAATTTATTTAAAAATATTTATGTCAAAACCTGCCCCACCACTAGCAGCCACAGCTGCAACATGTGCTTGTTGTACAGCCGCAACAGATGCTGTCGGATTGTGTGATGCAGCAGACTGTTGTTGTTGGTATTGCTGTTGTTGCTGTTGTTGATGGTGATGAGCTGCTAGTATTTGTTGTTGTTGCTGTTGAAGTGTGGCTAATTGCTATAAATAAATAAAAAAATAATATTAATTTTGAATTTATTTTTATAAATTTTAATAAACACTAAAACTTATTATAAAATAAAATTTTATATAATTTTATAATTTTTCTAACACAATTATTATCGAATTAAATTATAAAATCATAAAATAATTTATTTATCAAATTATTCAAATAAATTAATCTCTTCCGGTATTTGTTTATCAAATTTTTTTATTATTTAGTTTAAATATAAATCTCAACCAAAAATAAATTATTTAAATCTTTTAACTAAAATAATCACGAATAGGAGATTATTTTTCCTTTTTTTTATTTTCTACCCCCGTCTATCATACTAATCTCTTTAGTGATTTAAATAATTTTTTATTTTTAAATAAGGATTTGAATGCCTAATTTTAATATTATTTTCATATTATCGCAACTTCCCCACATTTGGGGTAATTTGTGTTTGAATGGAAGTCCCCCCTGTTGCTAGTGCTGAGTTTGGAATGTTTGCGATGCTTGTATTATTCGGTGTCTGCCAAAAGAATCTAGACATTTATGTTAGATCTAATATTTTGAAATTTTATCTAATCTAAAATTGAAAGAGAAAATATTTTAAATAAAAATAGAAATTAGCATAAAGATAAGGCAAATGAAAATAATCCGTCAAGATAAAGGATAATCCAGATAAATGTCTGATGTTTCAGATATACATATTAGAGTTCTTCTAAATAAAATAACAAATTAATAACAAAATTTCTTGTTCGAGCAATGTTCAAAAAATAATTTATTTATTTTCAAATTATTTTTCAAAAACATACAAAAATAATTTCAAATATTTCAACAAAATATTTTAAAAATTTAAAAATGAAGATTTGTTGCTAAACTGTTTTTGGTTATATATGTTTATATTTACTTTAGGTGCGCCTTTAAATACAATGCAGATAAAATCGTGGATTGTAGAAGTAAATAAATAGTCAGGAAATTGCCACGAATAAAGAAAAAGTTGTGTATGTTTATTTAAATATTTTTATTTATTTATGTAAAAATGTTTGTGAGGTGGAAGAATGCGTGGATTGCTGCAAAAAATGTTAAAAAATAAAAATAAAAAAAGTTAAAAATGATGAAAATTTAAATTGAAAAAGAAGAAGAAAAAATTGCAAACAATTTAAATATTCAAAATATTTAAGGAAGAAAATATTAAATTAATTTAAAAAATATTTTATAGTTTTGTTTATTGAAATAAGAATTTTATTTAAAAAATACTTGTCAAAATATACGTCAATTAGAATATTTTTTTAAATAGTAAAAAATTATGTTAAATATTCTTTAATGAGGTAATTATCAAAAAATAAATTTAAGAAATTAATTTAAGATTTTATAAAAATTATTTCACTTAAGTAATTAAAAGAAAAAAATAAAAATTTGTTTTAAAGAAGTCCAAAAATAATTATTTTTTAAATTAATTAAATATTTAACAATTTTAAATAATTAATTAACCAGTTGATATTTAAATTAAAAGTTGAATATATGTACATAAAGAAAAATTATTTTAACTTTTAAAATATGACAATTTAGAAATTCCATTTTTAAAGTAAATAAAAAAATTTTTAAAGCCTTACTGAAGGAATAGTAAATAAAATAACTAAAAATTTTTTATTCATCTAATACAGAGGCTAGAAATTAAATCAACAAAAAATTTTTTGTTAATCAGGTGTTATTAAAATAAGAAAAATAAATTATTTATTGAAGATATCATAAATTCTTAAACTTTTTAATAAAAGAAAAAAATTAAAATTAAAATAATTTAAATTGTCTCGTTTATTTAATAAAAAAATATATTTTGATATTTACGAAAAATGTTTATAAGAACTAAAGTGCATTTATTTATATTTTCTGAGAGAAATTTTGAAAGTTTTTTTTAATTTTATGTAAAATATTAAAATGAGGAAATAATTAAATAAACTTGTATATAATTAAATAATTATTATTAAATAATATTTAAAGAAAGGAAATAAATATTATGGGAATATTGTAATTAATTAAAGAATATTTTTGTCTGTAATTAATTTAAAATAAATATTTATTTTAAATATTATCCAAAATATATATTTTATATAAAAATATTTTTTAAAATTTAAATTTAAATAAAATAATTATTTTAATTTAAATTACTTCAAAAAAGTATTAATTTTATTTGAATGGCTTTTGTGAGGAGTTATTTAAAATTTTTAGATTTTCACAGAAAGGAGATTAAATATTTGTACAGAAGATAGTAGAATTTAGTAGATTTTGGAGATAAATTAAATTAATTTTTTAAAAGAAAAATTAAATTTAGAAAGAAAAAAAGAAATAAAGACAGGTAAATAAATAAAAAAATAAATTTTAAATTTTTTTAAATAAAGTAAAGGTAAATAAAAAAGTCAAATAAAAATTTTAAATTGAAAAATTTACTCGAGTAATAGAGTAGAAAAAAGTATTTTTAAAATCAATGTCCAATCATATGTCAAGAATGGTGTGAAGTTAAATATTGGATGGAAAGGTGAAGAAATAAAGGGGAGAGAAAAAAATTAAAAAAAGGTAAAAGTGTAAATAAATGCCACAGAGACTCGGCATTATCCACGCATCTATCCAATCACAACATCCTCTCTCTATCTCTCCATTCATCCCCTTCTCTCCCTCCCTCCTCATTGTCTAACCTAAATCGCTATCGAAAAAGTCAATCACTTTCATAATTATACACAAACTATATTTTATTAAATGTTTCTTCTCCCTTAACAGCCCTTAAATAAATTAGACAGGGGGTAGAAAAACTCCCTTAAAGCATTCACTCAAAAAACACGTTGGAACAGCTGCCTTTTTTTGGCAAGTTGTTTGAGGGAAATTTTATAAAGCGGAGAGCTACTGATTTGTATTTACATATAGGTATGTACATACTGATTTTTGTAGTGTGTAACAAACATTTATTATCTCTAGCTTTTTAGATTTTTTATATCTCTTGTGTATATGTAAATAAGTTTTAATTTCTTTATTACTGAAACTAGCGGGGAGGAATTTGGCGCTCATCTTCGATAGCAAATAATTACTTGAGAATTGATAAAACAATACTCGATAACCAAAACCTAATCAAAACACCACTCGAAAATCAAAATATAGAAAACGTGAACCAAAGACTAATCAAAACATTACATAATAAGTAGAACTCGATGTCTAGACACATTACAAAATTTTACTTAATAATCAAACACCCTGCTAGAATTGCAAGAACAATTAAATTCAAAACAATGTTAAATGGCACTTTTATTCTTTTGAACCACTAAACATTATTCAAAGTATTGAGACCTTGCAGGCCTTATTCGGGTTGATAAAAAAAGTACTTCTCTCCCAAGTATATTTCTTTTTAGCGAAGCAGGCAAAATTTTTTTTTAATTTCTGAAGGCCAGGAATCCAAAACTTTTTAAATGGGACTTCTTAAATACTAAATTGCCAATTCTAAGGGCATAAATAAAGGATATTTTCAATTTCAAAAATGCGAGTGTTGGTTTTTTTCAGTTAAAGGACGAATCCTAGTTTTGTATTAGAAAATGTCAATTAAAACTTTTAAAGGAAACTCAATTTAAAATTATAAAAATAAAAATTCTCAATAAACTCTAAATAATATTATTATCTATTTTTTAAAGCTAATCTAATATGTATATATAAAAATATTTTCTAATTAAATTGTCAATATTACTCAGAAAAAATATTTTCCAAATTAAAAAAATTATTTATTTATTCACCTGAAGACTTGCAGCGGCGGCAGCAGCAACTTGATGTGCACCTGCCGTATTTACTGCCGCAGTAGATCCTCCATTTCCACCGCCACTAGATGCTACTACTGCGGATTGACTGGCAGTTTGTTGATGTTGATTATTAGCTAATGAAAAATGTTGATGGGCTTGATTAACAGTTTGGTGACCTCCGCCACTTGAACTGTTAGTGGCGGAGTTAGTTGTGCCGTTAATTGCCGGAGAAGAAATATTGTTGTTATTAGTGGCTGTAGCCTTTAAAGAAAATAAAAAATTTAAATTAAATGATATTTATTTGTTTAAAGAAGGATAATTTTTTGAATATTTATTTTAAAATTAACTTTAATATTTTATAAATAAAAACTTAAAATAAATTAAAAATTGGGTTAAGAATAAAAATACTCAATATTTGAAGCTATAAAATAAATAAAAGTATGATATGTGAAGAACCAAATAATTCTAATGAATTAGTGGCAGAAAGTCGAATCGAGTTTCTAAATTAAAATATAAATAAAATTTTCACTTAAGTAAATTAAATATTATAATTTAGATAAAATTTCAAAAATATTTTCTTTATAAAATATTTTATTTAGAAAATTATATTCTAGCCATTATTTATTTATGGATTTATTTGTTCGAGAAAGAAGGAAGAACAGCCTCGAGTTGGAAGGATGAATGGTAAACATTGCGCAGTTTTAGATAAAAAGTAAAGTGTAGGCGAGAGGCTAAAGAATAGATGAAAATAAAAAATAAAAGGTAAACAAAGAAGTAAATATTTATAGTTAAATTTAAGTAAATCCATCTCGAATTTATTATAAATGAGATTTGATATGTGTTTGAACAAAAAAACAAAGAATAAAATAGATTACAATAAAATAGATATGTAAAAAATTAAATTTAAAATAAAAAAGAAACAGTAAAAAAAGTTTCAACTAAATTTTTCCCTAAAATTCAAGATGAACATTAATTAGAGCTTAATATTAGAATTAATTAACTCTTTATTAATTTTTACTAGGAAATTGTTTGCCTAAGACTAAAAATTTAAGTAAATTCAAAGATTTTTACCAGAAGTCAATTTTTGAAACAAGGGAATAATTGAGATACAAAGTCTAATTATTAAAGGCGTGCAAGGCCGAAAAATTTCAAAGAACAAGACCAAAACTTTACCCCAAGACTAAGACTGAAAAAACACACAAGAAAGGTCTTGGAATCAAGACTCAAGACCAAGAGTTTATCAAGGTGGTTCAAGAGTCTATCAAGTTTATCCTTTATCAAGGTGGTTATTACTTAAAAATTACTTTGTAAATGAAAAACCACGAAAAATTATCAACAAAATAAAGGATTTTTAAGTATACATATTCTTATAGTATACATATTCTTAATATACATATTCTTATTTTCTAAAAATTGTTAAAGAATTTTAGAGGGTAAACAAAGATTTTTTCAGGTGCGATAAAACTGCGCATTACCTTCGAAAAAATTAGTTGATTTTAAAAAACTTTAGAAGATGAGTTAGACAAACATTAAAAGAACTAAATTCGGATATTTGTTTACAATAAGAAAAGAAACTCTTGTACCCAGTTTTTTGTTAAACTTAAATAAAATAAATAAATATATACAAACAAATTTTAAAAAATCCAATCGTCTTATATTTTTTGTTTGTTAAACTAAAACTTTAGAAAAAGATTTTAAAAAAATTTAGAAATCTAAAAATAATATTTAAGTTGAGAATATAAAACATCAAAGATCGGAATAGGTAGAAAATAAATAAATATTTAATTATGTATAATTTATGAAACAAATTAAATAAATTTATTAGTTAAAATAAACAGCTGAAATTGTAATAATTATATAGAAACATAAAAGACGTGTGGGGAAAAAATATAAAAAAGCTTTAAAAATCAGAAGATGTGAAGGTTAGGTCGAAACAATAATTACCCTCTTAAAAATAGTTATAATTAATAAATAATTATAATTAAAATAACCTCTATTAATTACCCCGCCTTTATCAATTACTCTCTCCACAGAGAAGTCGAAACAATAGTTACTCAGGGTAATTAATAGAGTATGTGCGGTAGGTAACCAAAAATATTATGGTTGATAATCTGAAAGATAATTTATGAGCTCCATAAAACCCTTGAGACCTAATAAAAACTAATTAAATATCTAATTTTTAAACAAAAGTTGTAATATTGTTTCTTAGTAAATTAAATAATTTTATATTTTTTTAAATATTTTTTGTCATAAAAATTAATCTATTAAAAATTTCTTTTCATCAAAAGTAACACGCAATAAATAATGAAACAAATTTTAAAAATTATTATGTATTTGGTTGCATGCAAATAATTATCAAAAAATTTAGAAGAAATTTTAAAAATTAATTTAATTATAATTTAGATTTTTGATTAACTATAGGGTAAAAATTGGATGTTATTAAATAGGAAGAACAAGAATAAATTAGTAATTTTAGAAAATGTTAATTAAAGAATAGTACATAAATTAATCCGAAATATTAAATAATTAAAAAAATATTTTTTCTTTAAATTTATTTAAAGTTTTTATTTTACATTGTCATGACAACGAAATAATTTAATTTAAATAACATTAAGAATTTAAGTGTTTTAGATTTTAGAAAATCTAAATTTTAGAAAATTTAATTTAGGAAATTAAAGAAAATATTTTTTTAAAATATTCATAAAATTAATTTTTGTTTAGTACCTGCATTGTCTGCAATAATTGCATCATTTGTGCTTGTGGAATACCCGCTTGTATCATGTTTTGAATCATTGCCTCTAAAGAAGAGGGCATTTGCTGGTAATGCTCTCACAATTAACAAAAAATTAGTTCTTTTAAATTTAATTAATTAAATATATTTAATTTTTAATATTTAAATATATAAATTGTTGTTGCATTTTTGTTTGTCAATTTAACATTTTCTGAAAATTTTTAAAAATAAATATTAAAAAAAAAATAAAATTACCAATTTTGTTTTTATTGTTATTTTGTTGATAATAATTTAATTATATTTTTTCTATTTTTATTTAAAATAACTGTGATAACTAAAAATAAAAAATCATTAATAATAAAAAATTAAGGTAAAAAATATTTTTTGGGATAATTGCCAGGAAATATATAAATGTTAATAAAAATTGAAAAATTATTTTTATTAAATCTTCAATTAATAGAAATAATTTTTTAGAGATTTTTGAAACTTTATATATTCCAAAAAAAGTTAAATTTTATTTTAAATTTATTTTCAAGCTAAATTTAAATAACAATAAAAAATAATTATTATTTACAAACAGGCACAATTAAAAAAGAAAAAAAATATTTACAAATTTAAATTAAAGAAAAAATAGATTGCGTGAGAATAAATAATTTTGTGTTTATAAAAGGGCAAATTTGAAGGAAATTTAAGCTTTGAAAAGGTACAATTTTTAAAAAAAAAGCTTTACAAATGTTATTTTCTTAAAAGAATTTTTTAAGTAAATTAGCTATTAATAATTAAAAAAAAAGAAAAATTAATAAATAAAATTTTTAAAGCAAAAATTAAAATTATGTATATTTTGGTAGGTAAAATTAAAGCAATTTTCTATGAATAAAGTTCAAATTTATTCCCAATATTTGTAAAAAAACTAACAAATAAGTAGCAAAACTTTAAATATTTGACGTCAAATAATTACTAATTATTTTATTAAATTTTATTTTAATTATTTATCAACTCTTTCCTAGAACAAAAAATGTTATCAATAATAGAAATTTAATTTAAAATGAATCAAAATATTTTTTAAACTAAAAATCCGCTCAAAATAGAAAAAAATTCTAAAATAATTATTTTATATAAATTTCCAAAGATAATTTAAATAAAATAAAATAACCAGACTTATTTACATTTATTATTGTTATAGCTCAAAAATAAGTGCCATTCTCAACAAAAAATTATAGGGTACAAAAAGATTTTGCTCAAAATTCACACACACAAAAAGTAAGCTTACAATTAAAAATAAAGATAATTAAAAGTGTGTAAAAATAATATTTACTTTTTTGTTTGTAGTTAAAGGCAACCGAGGAAATAATTTTAATGAGAGAAAATGTAAGGTCTGTTGGGATTTTTAAATATAAACAAGCTTTAGATAAATTAAAATATATATACTGTTAATTTTAAAAATACTTATGTATATCTTCGGTTTTATTTGCCTGGTTATTAGTAAAAGAATTTGAAGATAGGGTTTAGTTATTTGAACATTCGAGACTATTTATCGGTTATTTCTATGCCTGTTTTTGGTATTGAGTTATGTAAGATAGCTCTTTAATCACAGATAGCTCCTTAATGATAAGCGCTAAAGTACATAAAATTAACATAAAATTAAATAGTAAATATGCATTTAAAATAAGTAATTTTAAAAAATAATTTAAAATATAGAAAGTTATTTATCTCAGGATTCACAAAAATCAGAAATGCGCAATCAACATACAAATTGTTCTGGCTCAAGATTTTTTTGTTTTTCAAGAAAATATTTGTGTGAATATAAAAATAAATGAGCCATTTTAAGTGTGAGAGTGATGTAAAAAGAAGGTTGACAATTTTTAACTAAAAATAAAGTTTTTACTTATTTATGGCACTAAATGTGACGAAGTAACAAGGAAATATAATTTTATTAGTGCGCGAAAATAATAATGTTTTTACTTAAAAACCATGACAGCATGAAAAGGCCAAAAAGGAGAAACTTAATTTATTTAAAAAAAGTTTAAAGGAAGGATTGCCAGACAAATTTTGTTAAAAAAATTAATTTTTGTTTAATTTTTAATTAATTATTTTAGTAAATTTTTGATAGTTTTTAGTTAAAAAGAGGATGAAAAATTATTTAAAATTTAATAAATTTAGTCTACATAAATTTAATTAAAGAATTAAAATAATTATTTAAACAGTCAACTATAAATTTAAAAAATTAAAAAAAAGTACATTAAAATAATTTGGTCTTTAATGTTTTAATTTTTTGTTTACAAAAAAGGAATCTAAAAATATATTAATATTATAATTTGTGTATTTAAATATTCATAAGAAGACTTAAAAATCCTGAATAAAAAAATAAAGAAAAAATTTAAATAAAAGTAAAAAGGAAAATTTGACCGAAAACTAAGAATATTATTTTATGATAAACAAAATAAGGGAAAAATATGTTTGTATTTGATTAGAAAATAATTATTTTAAGTGATAGGAATACTTAATAAAAAATATAAATAAATAATTATAAATTAAATTTAAAAAATTTTTTGATAGAAAAATATATTCAAATTTAATAATTTAAAATTTTTATGGAGACAAACTACTAATTTATCTGATTAATTGAAAGTAAGAATATCGAAATAAAGAATTTTATAAATTAGAGTTTCTAACAGTTTTTTTCGATTATTCTAATTTCATATATTCGAATTATATAGAAATAGAGGAGAGAGGTCCAACAGAAATATTAAAATAAAATCTCGAAATATTATTAAAAATTTATTGAAGAGTGTATTTGTAATATGTAAAGTATAGAAAAATAAAGAAAATAAATTTTAAGGAATTTGTAAATAAAATAATTATAGAAAGATTAGCTAAATGCTATAAATGTTTGATATAAGGGGAGATTATATTATTTTAAAAATATATTAAAAATATCGGTTTATTGCGCGAGTAAAGGATTAAAGATGGACTTAAAAATAATTATTTATTTAAAACAAATAGTTGTCGGCATTTAAAATTTATTTTTAGGAAATACAGATTTGGATTATTAAATGGCAGATAAAAAATAAATATAAATATATCTATATAAAGTATTAAAATTTGTGGTAATAAATGAAAGGATTACAATTGAAAACAAAAAATATTTAATTATTTATTTTTAATTGCAATAATATTAAAATTAAAAAAAGTTAAGATAAAATTTCTTGTGGATGAAAGAATGAGACTATTGTGCAAGTGGAATGTCATAAAAGTGGGTCCGACTGAAATTAAAAATAATCAGTTTATGCCATGATAGAGATATTTTGCAGGAATGTACATATTTTCGCTCGCTATGCACTTAACCATTTTCACAATTTTTGACTCAAAAAAGTTTCTCTTTTTACCTTTTGATAAGAAAAAAACTATTCTTTAAATTTTTTGATAGAAAAAATGACATTTTTTAATAAAGATTTATGAGATTTAGGGAGATATCGAAGATAAAAAACAATCTAGAAACTATCTTCGCGAGTTAACAAAAATTATAATTCAATTTGATCAGGAGTATTCCTTTCTTGGCGCCAAAGGAGAAAATTTTGAAAATTTTAGATGTATGGTCAAAAATTCACAGTTTGATAATTTTCCTCACGAATTTTTTGATTTACTTTCCTCAATTTTGAAGAGATTATGACATTTTTTATATCTGACCTGGACCGGATCCGGGTTTTTGAACGATCGAACCTGATTTTCCTGATAAAAATTAGGAAAATCCTGTTTTTATCAAACTATCAGTATTCCGGACCTCGGAAAATCCGTATTCGGTCCGGATCCTAACTTTATTATTTGCATTTAAATCTCGAAATGAAGTCAACCCTGTTATCAAGAAATTAAAAAATTTTTAATTTGCTAGATTTCTTAGAAATGTCAAAAAATGTTTTAGCAAATAGGCACATAGTCAGGCCCACACCTTCATGTGAACCACCACTAATGTAAACAATCACATTTGTGTAAATCTGATTGGCATTGTTCCAAAATTTTACACCTTATTTTAGTTAAAATTTTTTCAGCCCCAATTAATTAATTTTAGAAATTAAAAATACAAAAATTAAAATTAATAAAAATATTTTAAATATAGAAATCAATAAAAAAATTAATAAATATACAATCAAAAGTCTCTATAAAATTTAAAGACTGGCAACTGGGTAGTTGTAAAAAGTCTAACAGACAACACGCGCGTTTAAATTTTTGGCCAATAACCAACCTATATTTAGATTTCGCTGCCAGCATTGTAAAGAAAGAGATGGGGGAAATTAAGGGCAAGAAGGGGGATGACATATTGGATAAATGATTTTATCTTTTAAAAATAAATTTTTATTTATTATAAAGATAGAGAGGAAAAAATAAAATCTAAAGATGGAGAGATGTAGGGAAGGGGAGGAATGGGAAGGTGGGAGGGGGTGAGGAATGGATGGGGGATGAGGGAAGAGGAGAGGATAGGAAGGAGTAAAAAAGGTAGAAATAGGTTGATTGGTAGCAGGGTTTGTCGAAACTGAATTTAAAAAGGCAAAACACGAAAATTAAAAGTTATAATTTAAAAAGCGAAGTAGCAATTCACAACACGAAGTAAGATTGTGATCTTTATCTGTCATTTCCAAAAATTAAACATAGAGTTACGGGTGTTTCATTATTAAATGAAAAATTAAGGATGTTGTTGAAGTTTTTTACCTGAATTTTAAAAGGCGAAAGACGAAAATGAAAAGTTATAATTTATAAATTTTTGCTGTAGTCCAGGGCTGTTTCGAAATTTCGATATTTTATTTCAATTTTTTGGTGAGTTTTTCGATTTTCAAACATTTTTTTTGATTCGAAACATCTCTGCTATAGTTACATTAAACTATGATAAAAACAAAGGCAGTTGTTTTCTAAAGTGGATAGTTTATTAACTCGAAAAATTTTGGCTCTTGTCTAATTTAGTAGTCAACGGGTGAAGTTGTTCTGAGAACGCGGGAAGTTGTTTCGAACATATTGGAAGTTGTTCCAAACATGAGGGAAGTTGTTCCAAAAACGGAGGATGTAGCTCCAACAACGGGGGATTAGTTCAACAATAAAGGAAG